CAACATGCTTAAAATACTAGGGCTTAAAATAATAGAGAAAATACAGGATGTTGTATCAACCCTCTCACTTTTTAAAGTGCTCTGGTATTTCCTTTGTGGGTTGTATGAAGAAACATGTTCTGACTCTGGCAAAGAACCACAAAGTGCAGTTTAAGAAAACCAATCTAAAGAGGGTAAATTTCTACTACTTGGCCTTGACTTAATGACATTTCTTTTCTTTTACTTTTCCCTAAGGAGTCAGACCCTGGTTAGACTTAATGACATTTTAATAAGTCAAATATCAGGAGGCTGGCTGTATCAGACATCCCATTCACCCAGAAGGACAAGTAGATGCTTCATAATTACCAAGGGATATAGATAAGGTATTAAATATGTTTCTAAAGAAGATTTTAATCCTTGGAAGATCTCTTAAATAAGAACCCTGAAAATCCATTCAAAATCTATTACTATAAATTTCATGTGATGATCCAAAGTTTTTCTGCCACACATATATTACATTCAGATTGTCATTATAATACTTGCAGGAAGAGAAGTTGAGTATAAATACATGCAGAGCTAAATGCAGACTATTAGGCATTTAAGGGCATAACAAATCAAAAACAAAACATTCATTAAAAGAGCTACTAGTCTCTACAAGTTTTCTTTTAATGAGTATTAATGAAATCTTGTGAAAACTCAAGATAAATTCCAAAAAGTAATTTTAAAAATAAGAGTACAATACAGGTTTAGTAAATTGAGCTAAATAGTCTTCAGACTAGTTCCTCTTACTTGCTTCTGTATTTCTGATAATGCATTATTTATTACTCTCCTGACTGTTCAGGATTGACAACCCACTCCTTCTACTTTTTCATCTTCCAAATGTCTCTTTCATATTCTCATTTCTTTCTAGTCACATTGCCTCTTCTTATTTCTTAAATGTGGCCCCCAAATTGGTCTGTCCTTATCACACTCAAATCATTCTCCATATCTTCATCATATCACTTTCCTATACAAAACTAAGAGAGGGGTCTGGCTTTCATCTAGTTAGAGAAGAAAAACATCATTCAACACTTGGGATGAGCAGTAAAGATCCTTTTTAAAGATCCAATTTAAAAACAGCACTTACTAATATGCTCTCTAATACTTAGTAACTAGAGATACTAGTATATACCTACCTGAATGGTTAAAATAAAAAATAACTAACACTACCAAGTATTGATGATGTACAGTAAAGGGTAGCAAACTATGGCACAGGGACCAACTCCAGCTTGCTTCTTATGCCTGGTTTTGTAAATCAAGTTTTAGTGAAAGACATTCATAATTATTCTTTTATATATTGTCTAGGGCTGCTACAACGACAGAGATGAGTCACTGCAACTTAGTAACAAAAAAATGAACCACCTAAGTTTACCATAAGTGGATAAATTTCAAAAACATTTTGCTGCCCAAAAGAAGCCAGGCACAAAAGATACAGGTTCAATTTATATGAAATTGAATCTATAATAGCAGAAAACAGATTGTTGGTTACTTGGAACCAGAGGTGAGAGGTTCACAGATCTGGGTAAAAGGGAACTTTGGCAGATAATAAAAAGTTGTATAACTTGATTATACTGGTGGTTATGTGAGTGTATATATTTGTCAAAACTCAAAGTATTGGCTCGGCGGCTGTAGCTCAGAGAGTAGGGTGCCGGCCACATACACCAAAGCTGGTGGGTTCGATCCTGGCCTGGGCCTGCTAAAACAACAATGACAACTGCAACCAAAAAAAAA